ATAGCTAGAGTCCTTCCAAGGTGTTGATCCGTTGCTGAAGCTTTCCATCCAAGAGGGAGAGGAGGCCGAAATGTGTGTGTGTGTGTGTGTGTGTGTGTGTTTTCCTTCGCCTTGTTGTGCCAGGTGCTGTAGCACGTTTTCCGGTCTGTACTTGAGAAAGTGTGAGAACCTGGGCAGAGTTCAGCACAGCACAGCCCGGCAAGCCTGGCCTCACGTTTTGGCTACGGAGCACGGATGAGCACGGAGTAGTGAGCAGTAGATCTACAGATGAATTCATTGGTTTGCCGGTCATAAGTTCCCACAAGCAACTTTTCGTTTCAGATCCGATGATGGTGCAATTCTTCACGGGGTTAATCCAGGTCGTGGTGGAGCCCGCGAATGGATATGTAAACTAAGGCTTCAGATCAAACCAGCTGCTCTTGAACAGGCGATTTTCACCGTGGAGCTCAAAAGCTTCCGGAACCCGAGGGGCACCTATGTTGCCTGGTGGCAGACAAGAGCCACCAGAGACAGATGCAACTGACATGTAAGTTTGAAAGTGCATTTTAAAGGTGTGATGTGCATATGGCATGTCGAGAATGAAAGACAGAACCACTCTTGCCCCCACGAGCAGCTCCCAACAAACTGCACCTCAGGAAATGCCCGAAGTGGACAAGGTTCCGTCCCCAGTCCACTGACAAGGTCATAGAGAAAACACGCGTGCGGAACGTCCTGCACTTCACCAACTGCTTGACAACACGAACTTTCCAATTGAAATTTCAAAAGCTGTGGCTGAGATGGCCTACGCAGCTGAGCGGAAAGAGACTGGGTCGCCAACTCAAGCTTGCATCCTGCAGGTCACTGTCGGCTATACCGAGTTTTAATTATTCATGTCTATATTTTTTGTATTAGTTAAGTGATGAACGAGATTCGTGAGAGCAGCTGCAGTTTCCGCAGCTCCTCTTGCCGGTCCTGGATAGCTTTATTTCGTCCTCATTCCGCCGGTGTGCTTTGCTGGTGGGTTCAGCAACATCCTGAAAGTCACAAGAGATCTCTTGGAGCTAAGGTCTCGACTGTTCCGGGAAGGAAGGCCCGCTTGCTGCATCACACAACTTGCTGGATTTCGGAAGCGCCCGCAAGTTATTCCCAAAGGATGCAGGATGTCTCCAAGGGTGCAGGCCGTCGCGTTCATGGCAAGACTTACAACTTTCTGTGCAGTTTTAATGTCGGTGAGCTCAGATTGCCACAGCCCGGCAAAGTACTGCGCTTTCCAGGAAGTAGCATACACATAAGCGACCCATGTGTCGGTGCCACGCTCAGCAACACTTGAAAAGCCCGATTCTTCGGTGTGAGGTACTTCCTGGCTCTGCAAAGATACTGCGGAGTGCCACATTGAAGTTAGAAAGCTATCTGTGTGGGCCACACTACCAGTCCTTGATCATGAAACAGAGTCGGGGCCATAGGTACTCGAGTTCTTCTCCTACTGCGACAACCTCAGCGAGGTTCCGAGACCCACCGATGGTCAACATATTAAGCTGAGTGGTCAAAAACCTCTAAGGGAGGCACAGACAGCATGCACGCGTCGAAGCGGTGTTCCAGTCGATTCCAATATAGACCTATCACTGCTACGCACGCAAGGTGGTCAGAATTAGCCACAGCTTCGCGTTTAGTTTTTGGACTCCCGTTCTTTAGCGTGCAAGAATGCCTTCTTTTGGTAATATCGAGAATGTTGCCAAAGACTTCCTTCTGCAGCCGTTCCTCTCGGCTTCGGCAGAGATGCAGATGGGTTCGAGTCCAAGGCAGCCCTCTGAAGCATGGTTTTTTGTGAACGTTGCCAGCGTTCGATTTGTCACACCATGACAAGAGCAAGAGAGAGACAGAGAGAGAGGGAGAAGAAGAAGTCGAAGAAGAGAGAAGGAGAGAGAGAGAGGGAATGAGAGGGACAGACGCATTTGCCAAAGGCACCTTGAAGGCAGCCGGCTGTCGCTGCAGAATGGCCGCGGACGAGAACGACCTAGACATCGTCAAGCGTTTTGGTTGGAAATTAAACTAAAAGCAATGCCACCAGAAAAGTTGCCGTGTAGCTATGCGCCATGCGGCAATCAGCTCGCGATCTTTTCTTCATGATGGCCACGACATGCAAGCACGAGTTTCAGATACAAGGCAATGCATCGAGATCATTGAGCAGGAGGCATGGGGATTGCTGTGCGAGCCCTCCCTTTCAAAAAAGAGTGTGAAGGTTGAGCGGTTGATTCCTTTGTCGCTTGCCAGGCACTCTCATTGATGGTGGACCCTGGTGACGCAAACGGCCTCAACGACGATGACGCCAAGCTCGCAGAGGCTCTAGCTGTAGAACTGGTTGTATCTGGAGCCAATCAGTCATGATATGCCCTTCGACATGGCCGAACAAAATGGCCAGCCTGGGTGTCTGCACAATGGGTCGTGCCTTCCCATAGACAGAGTGTCATTCTTTAGTGAAGGTTGCGCGTGTGTTTTACATAGGCTTTTTGTTTTAATTGGCCATTTTGTGTTAACATCCGGTTTCTTGATGGTTTTGTACCCATGTACCAGGGTATACCGCGCAAGCCATTTTGTGAATAAATCCAAGGTTTTGTGAACACATTATGAATGGTTTGTCAGATGTGGCTTGGGTACCTTGCGCCGGCCTTTTGATGGTAGGGTATTGTGCATTGCTCATGCTACTTTGTGTCGGCATGGCGATATAGCCACGCGAAGTGAGCGAGTTCAGCTAGGCTGCAGAGAGCCCGGCACAGTGTCACTGGAGTGACCAGTCCCAGATAACGCCACATCCCACAGAGTACTACCCGTCAAGATGCCGAGTTTTAGATTGGGGGATCTAAGGGGATACCCGCAACATTGTATGGATTGGATTACAATAAGGGATTTCGCTGCTGTTTGTTGGGTTTCTGTTCGTTGTTTGCTTTCTCGGGCCTTTTCTTACATTCGTGTGTTGGGTCTATTGACTTGCGGTGTAGGGGGCAGATTTGCGGTCCTTGGGTCCCGGAACAGCCCTTGTGCTAATCAAGTACCTGCGCGGCAGCACTGGCTCTAACATGCACCCCTACATGTTGTGTTAGACATGTGCACGGTGGCGCCCGGTGTTGTTTTTCCTTTCCTAAGCTTGCATTGCGGGCGCCCACGGCCAGACATTGCCCCACTTGCCCCACTTGCTTGTCCGGAAGAGCGAGTTGTCATTGCCCACCACTTGCCTCGCCCCCTGCCACCCACCCCCCTCCCCCCAACCACAAGTCTGCCTCAAACCGGGCCGTCTCTTTCCCTGTCTGCCACCCCGGCACAGCTTGGTGTCTTTTTGGCAAACTTGTTGCTGGAGCCAGAGCCGCTTCACCTCTCCCCCCAGCTTTCCTGAGCTTGGTGGGGGAAGCGGGGGGCAGTGGGTCCAGGCAAGTGGGGCAACTGGAACAACAGGGTTCTCTGCTAAGGGACCAGAGCAAGCGGGGTAAGGTTGGCCCTGGCTGGTTGCAATTGGTAAGTTGGCGAAGCCCCGCTCTTTTAAGCTATGTAAACTTGCTTGATTCAGAGAATGTCGTGCTGTCAGTGTGCATTCCTTCAAAATGAGTCACTTAAAATGACCGCCCTTTAGGTGCATTCTGGAAGGGGAATATTATTATCGGTGATGGCCCGAATGCTGAGTTGACAGCTGGCACGAGCCCCCTGAAGCATTCCTCATAATGGATTGCATTCATGTGATTCATGTGACAGGTGCTGCAAGTCCTTGGCGCGAACGGCAAGGCCTGCAAGTTAGCATGCAGAGGACAAAGAAGCGGGGGTTAACTGGCTAATTAAGCGCTCGAGCCTTTCGGGGCCAACTCTTGCTAGTGTTTTCCGCGCATCACCATGTGCGGTTCTCGTTTTCTTGGGCTGCCTCCCGCCACGTGTCCGCCCCCGCCCGCGTCCACCCGCCCACACAACCCGTCACGAGGCACCTTAACCACTCCGAGCACACGCAACGCCACCTGCACCTTGAATTGCGCGTTAGTGGCTGTGGTCACGGAGCCTGGCGGTTGGGGCTCACGTTCGGTGATGTTCTGTGAACTGATGAGTCTGGTGGTTGGGTGCGAACCTCGCTGTGGCCGTGGTTTCGGGCATCTGGGGCCGGGGGTCTGAGCCGTTGTCCCTGCGTACTCTGAGAGACGAATCAAAGAAAGTGTTGGTTTCTGTCTCTGCAGGCGCCATTCAGAGCTCCAAAGTGCGTGCACTAGGTAGAGTCAGGTCATTGGATGCGATCACTTAAGCGCGCAGCTGCTACAGCTCCGGTTGCATTGCAAAGAAGACTCCCAGGAACTCGAGTTGATACTCTCAGCTCAAGATTTGCATAGGCACCTTCCTGGATCTGAGTTTCCGGCCTCTGGGGGGGTCTGGCGGGTGGTGGCCTCCTTAGCGGGACCAGTGGTTGTTTGCAAGTTTTGCGAACAACTGCGTTTAGCTTTCACGGTGCGACCTTCTGACGTCTTCTTGGTTTTGGGCGGTTGCTTGCGCACTTTAGTACACACATGTGCCACAACAGAGCGGCTCCGAATCCGAACACATGCGCCACAACAGATCGGCTCCTAATCCGAAACACATGTGCCGCAAGAGATTGGGCCAAACATGTGCTGGTAAAGCCACGCGCAGAGGGCGTAGACATGTGTAACACGCTGGCCAGGCAGTTGAGAAACCCAGCGACTCGAGGGACCTGCAAGAGAAGCTGTCGTTACTGACGCGAGGCCTCGAAGACTGTTGGTGAAGCTTCGCGCTGGATTCGAAAGAAGATCAAAGAAGTTTCAGGGTTGTCCTCGATAGTTTTCCCATGCTTGTCCGTGAGTGTCAGACTTCTGGTCGCTGCATTTCCACCAACAATGTGGGCTCAACGTAGTGCACGAGCTGCGGTGTGAGTTCATGCCAGGGCCTCTGAGGTCCATCGGGTCGTCAAATCTATGTCTTATGCATCGGCAACAGGCTCACCGGACTTCAAACTTACAATGTCACGCATTGCGCCAGGTATGCACCTGCTTAGTGAGCAGATCCACGCCAAGACAGAGGAGTTAAAGGCGGTGGAGGATCAGCAAAAGGACGCTAACCACAGCGTGCCATGTTGTGATTGCTCCGAATCAAATGTAAGTACCTGAAATGCTTTCTGTTGATATGGAACATTAGAAAAGGGGGCACAATGGAAAGGAGATTGGGACTGCGCGGGCGTAAACCGCATCAACCTGAATCGAAACCCGAAGGTTTGTGAGGAAAGGCATTTGAGCATTTTGAAGGCCCTGCAGTCCTGCATGGCGGGCACCACCGATGTGTTCTTTTTTCCTTCAAAAGGTGTTGCTGTGGCTCTTGGACCGCGAATGAAGGCCACTAAGGTGGCTAATTGTAGTTCTCTTTTTTGGTGTGTGTTCTTGCAAGCCCTGAAGCTCGGTCGACCTTTGTTTTGGGAGACCCTATCATTTCCAGCCTTGTGATGTTGAAGTTCTGCCAAGCCGAGCCACCACAGCCAAGCGGCCAAGTTCTGCTTGCTCAAACCTTTGAAGGGTGGAGAGTACGATGAGCCAGGAAAACGATTGCTGGATGAAGCGAGAGGACTCCGCCGGCAAACAGAAAGACGGGCAACTTTCTTGGCGCCATTTTTGATCATTTGTAGTAGCCACCGGCGCAAGTAGTGCAACAGAGAGACAAGCATGACAACATGTGGCTGCAACTCATGGGCCTCTTTTTCGACATAGGGTTTGGAACAAAGCCGTTCTCTTTACGACAACTCGCTCTGCGACAAGCCCCTTCTCTGAAGAGGGCCCTGGAAAGGGAAAGGGAGAGCCCCGACATGATATGGCAATGTGGCGTTTTGAAACGCATGTTAAGGGGAGCATGTCAATGTGGTCATGACGGAACCCGATGTGGTTTCCTTGCCTGCCGTGTGCGAGTGTGAGCGACGAAAGGGAGCGTGGGCCAGGTCTGTTGATTCTGTTGATAAGCTTGACTTCATAGTTAACCAGATGTTGCAAAGAAAAGCAGTCGTAAATGTGAATGTCGGCAGGACGGCCAACATAACCATGCGGGCCCAAACGGCTCCCGCAGCCCGCCAGAGAATGTGAACCAGAGGCGGGAGGCACTTGACCCTCCGAGCCCGACAGGTCCCTCGGCTGGACCACAATCTTTGTGCCATCCTGCAGCTCTAGCGACTCTAGTGACTCTAGCGTCAGCGCTAGCGAACGTGATTTTTCAGATTGCCTGCGTCCGGGTCACCGAGGCTTGGGTTTGCTGCCGCCCACACCCGAGCGACCCCGCCCTGAGCCTCACGAAACCGGAGATCTTGGGCAGACCCTGTATTCGGACACCCTGGCGAGGCTAGCACAGTCCCACGCGGAGCTGAAGAGTCGCATCATCTCTTTGGAGTCAGAGAATAAGCGGTTGCAAGAAGAAGCGAATCTCCGGTCCATGGAAGAGCGGAATCGCTTACTGCAGGTCCACTCCATTCTCAAAGGAGAGGATGGCGGACATGGCAGCCTTGACCTTTCGGCTCCGCGCCTCCGACCCAAAACTAAACCGTTTGTGCCAACGCGGCCCAAGCCCAAGCCGCAGCCCCGTGCTGTGACCCCTCCCCCACCTCCCGCGCAACGTATGCCGCATTGGCGGAGTGCTGAGAGCAGGCCAGCCTGGCAGAGGAGTGAGAGGAGCGAGTCTCCGAGATCGAGACCGTCGAGACCTGCAACCTCTGCAACTTTTCAGGGCCGCTCTGCACAAGCCGACGCGAGCCATGCGAGCCGATCTCCGCAAGAGCGGAGCTTAGGCAGGACCACTCCGCCTAAGCCGAAGATGGGCCGCAGCACGCCGCCGCCACCAAGAGCTCCGGTGGCAAGATCTGGAGCCGACAGCGTTTCCGCGCGTGGCACGCCTCCTGTGCCGAGCTGCTTCCAAGCAAGCGCGCGAGGTCAGTCCACTTTGACAAGCTCGATGAGCGTGCCTTGATGCATTTGATGCAATTGATGCAGTTCTCATGTCTTCCATATTTCTTCATGTCGCAAGGAGGACGTGCATAGGAAGTCGAAGGTGCAGCCGAGGAAGAGATTTGAGTGAAGCCGAGAACCGCTTAGAACTAACTTAGAACCAACGGGTTGATTTAGGTGAATCTTTTTCTGGTAGTAAGTTCAGGCAAGGCCCGAGCGCTCGGGCAGCGCCTCACCACCACGAGGTGGAGCACGGCGCGCGCCAGGATCCCAGCGAAGGGATCCGGACATGCTTTAAATGCATAAGGGGGCGATGACGGTGCGGGGGGGGGGGGTGGGGTGGGGGCGTCCACGGGGCACAGTGGCTGTGTTCGTGCTCTTCACATCTCTGTGGTGCAGGTCGACGCCGCCCGCGCCCAGTTCCAGGCCACGGGCACAGAAAAGGGACCTGTCCTGAATAGCACGCCATAGTCTTTTCTGAGGCCGAACTCACCTCGGAACTTCAATGAGAAGGACTCAGCGCAAAGCCAGCGAAGTCGAGACGGCGCACAACTTGCATAGCTCGCACTGCTGTTGAATTCCCAATCGCTCCTGTGTTGGCACATGGTCCTGAAGCATGAGTTGCAAAAATTGGCATACGACGCACCTCGGCAGTTCAGCTGTGTAGTACAACCTCCCAAGCGCGCCAACCGAACCAAAGTCCGGTGGGTGAAATAAAGATGACTGAGTAAGGCATTTTCAAGCACTTGTTGGATGTGGAAGGTCCTTGTTCCTCGGGGGTGTTTCAGCACCCTGGACTGGCCAGCGTTTCTGGTTTCAGAGCGGGTTTGTGACATGTTGTGAGTGCAGTGTGAAGCGTATACCTGTTTCACAATGGAAAATTCGGGGGTCGGATACCTCCGCCACGAAGGCAGTACGGCTTCCAAACTGGAGTCATGTGTTTTCTCGCCGCATGGTTTTCGGATGTTTTTGCCGCCTATAAGTTCTCCTGCAGCTCATGGACCAAACCCAACACATCCCATCATTTTGCTGTGAGCGCCGTCCAATGCAGGAGCTGCCCCTACACTGGCGGCAAATGGTTGGAGATGCCTATTGCCAGGCTTTGGGAGTTTCAAGTCAATCAGTTAGAGTTAGCGGATGGCATAGTGACAGCACAACTGCATTTTCGACAACTAAAGTTTTGCTCAGAGGCGCGGGCCTCTCGGCTAGACCCTCACGACTGAACTGAGTTCCAAATGGAGGAGACGGGACGCCCTTTCGTAGATCGCATCACCCTGCTCGATTTCACCAGCGCGTCGAGCAAGTTGCTTGGAAGCTCATGATGTGTGCTGTATCACCACCACCCCCAAGGCCTAAACCAAAACTCCGTGGACTAAAGCATACTAAGTGTGTCGATTCACATCTTGGAGATGGTTTCAGTAGCACACTGGAAGCCTTCAGCCTGAACAGCCAGCCGTTCCCTGGCTGGAAGCCTTTTCAACTGAGGAAGCCGGACCCCGTGTTCTGGGTCAACGTCGCTCTGTCGCATTGGACGACCAGCAGCAGCATTCTCTGCCACGGATCAGACGACGGCAAACAAATTTGGCATGGACGGAATTGTCCACATGCAAAGTCTCGCATTTTGATCGCCCACAAAATATGCCAGCAGACCACATCTGTAGCACATGGGAAGAGTCCATAAACTTTCCAAAGAAAATAGGCGTGGTGATTTACAAAAGACAAACGAAACAGGAAAATATAGGAAACCAAATAGGCGTAAAATAGGAAACAAATAGGAATAGAATGGGAAACGAGGAAATTGTACTTTACCTGAGTGTTTCCTATGCTTTCCATCTGGGACCCCTGTTGTCCTATTTGTTTCCTATATGTTCCTATTCTTTTCCTACTTCTGTTTGTATGTGTTTCGTGTTGTTTTGCTACTTGGTTTCTACTTGTATTGTATTTGTTTTGTGAGGTGTGTCTCAGATTCCAATCTGATTCCTATTTGATTCCTATCTATTCCCTGTTTAAATTCATCTGGCATGATGGCATCATTTCAATTCTGCGAACGTTATAAACTTAGGCAGTTTTCTCAAGACTCAAAACAGATGAAGCCAAGGTCAGGCTGCGCTGGGCGGACCTTAAGATTACAGAGATCGGCCGAGTCCCAAAGCGCGGTGAGGCTGCAATCGGGAAGTCACGGCAGTCGCAATTTTGCTGTGTGCAGGGCTTCTGCAGGATCCATAAAGTACCCTCGACGTGGCACCTCAGGTAGGCTATTGGCTCAACATGGAAGCGTATCAGAATCTTCTGCTATCTTCTGCAAGTGCTTCGGTTCAGACAGGCCCTTGCGCTTTTCGTCCTGCAGGGCACACCAACTGGAGAGAGGAAGGCAGGAAAGTTTTCACTGCCTGAGTCACTCTTTCAAGTTGACGGAATGTGCAAACCTAACCCATCATCAGCTAAGCTGGGGCGACAGCTGCATTGGCCATTGACCAAATGCTCAATCTAAACATATCTAAACTAACATGTCGAGTTGAATGTGCCGGGCTAGAGTACTTCCTGGATCGCCGCTACATCAAGACCGTGATGTTCCAGCGTTGTTTTTCACACAGCACGATGCGTCTAACCAACCTCTTGATTTCACACTGCGATCTTCACGACCTGTTCTTTTCAAGGAGTGGCAGAGCAACGGCCGCCGCAGCGTCGCTTCCAGGCCCGCCTCGCCTAGGCGAACGCCTTTGCCGACATGGCACGTTGCTTGGACCGAGATACAAGAGTTTGGCCAGTCACACGACACGTAATTCATGTGCTGAAGCACTGATGTGGTTGAAACGTCTTTAAAGTTTGATAGGCCTTTGGCCCAGAGTGTCCCGCAGAGTGTCCCACACCTGTGTCCCGGCTGGCGCGTTGACCCCAAAAAGTCCAGAGAATCACAGGGTCCAATCCCCCAGATTCTCGCAGATCCAAAGGGTCCGATTCAACCGCGACCGAATCTTGCAGTAAAGTAGCCTGAATTCCTTGATGAAAAGGGCAGGATGGCTCCTTGTTGGTTAGCTTTGGGGTCGGGTTCATCGAAGTAGGCACTAGGTTTTGCCTTCTTTTAGGGGGATCAGCGGCTCTAACCTGTGCTCCTTTTCTTCGAACCCCATCCCGCGTGACCATATCGTAATTGAGGCCACTAACCCCTTGTTCGGTCAGCTACTTTTTTGGTCGAACCCCTGTCGGTTTGATTCCCTATTTTTGCGAATTGCGGCAGGGGTCCCGGCTCTGTGCAAATCCCGGCAAAATGTGTGTATCCCTCTGAATCCCATCCAAGTGTGTAAATCGAATCCGGCTTTTTCAAGCCTTACTCTCTGAATACCTCGCATCCCGGCCCGAGTGTCTTTGTTGCTTGTTGTTTGACATGTCTTTCTGTTTTGTTTCAAAAGTCGTTCCCTTGCAAGACGCTCGGACGGCTTTGTTCCGAATCCTGGCCGGAACCCCCACTTATCTTCACATCATGCCAAGAAGAGGAATTGCTGCAACACACATATGCATCCTTTCAAATCTCGTGATTTATATATAGACACGCACTGTGTTTGCACATGGGGGTCCCCAAGCCCTCTGCTTTTTCAAGCCGCGCAAGCCTGCTTTACACAACACCATGCCATTAAAGCCCTCGGTTTTTCAGCTGTGACAGTCGCTACAGCAGTTGCACTTGAGCACGTTGTTAAGAATCTACAGCTTTTCATGGTGCAAGTTGTACTTTGCTCACCATCGACCTCTTGCCTCTTGTGTCGTTGGTTAACATGCAACAACGCGAGCCGGTCGGCTTGCAAGCCCAGCACGCATGCCTGAAACTGAAGAGGCAATTTCAGCCAGCGCTTCCTCATGGACATACATTATACATTCTTTTTTGGCAAAATGTACTCCTGCGCCCTGGGTTGTTTGAACGAGGGGTGGGGAGACAGGGCACGAGCGGGTTGACTGACCGCGGCAATTTGCTTCGTGGCCAACAGTGGCATAGTTGGTATGTGCTCTAACACTTCCAATAACTTTCTTCGCGCCTAGCCTGGGACCAGCTTGTACTCTGAGAGACTGAGAGACTTGGCCGGGAATCGAAGTGCTTTGGGTTGGGATTTCGGAGGCTTGGGTAGCCACCACAGCTGCTGAAGAACCGGCCAAGCTGTGCTTTTTCGCGGGGTAAATGGGCAATTCTGCTGGAAGGGTTCACTCCGACATCCGCTGACAGAGAGGGCGCCTCATGTTCGTTCTTGCTTGCAAACTTTCTGCAGGATGCACTCCTAGCAGTTTGCAGCATGAAACACCTTTCAGCACGGAAAGGTTGCATGGCAATGGCAGCTGACACTCCAGGATATTCTAGGTAGGTCAATGCATGGCTTGTCCAAGTCAAGGTGGCATCAATGCGGGTGCTGAGGAACCTTCCTTTCAATGAGAAGAGGCTCGGTTAGAAGTCAGAACTACTCAGGGCAAAGTGCATCAGGTCAGAAATACCCAGAGCAAAGCCCATCACTCTTGGAGCTGTACCACGTAAGAACCATGTAGTCTTGAAAATCACGCGCCAAGGAATAGCATGGCTTTAGTGGCGCACGCGGGTGGCGGTTTGCTCCGTGCCTCAAGCTGCATCGAAGGTGTAGCGATTTCGGCGCCTCGAATTGAATATAGGACTTGCCTTGAAGTACGAGCGACATCGAGCGACTGCCACTTTCTGAATTTCTTAAGAGGCATTTCACGAAGCATTGAATTCAGGCATGGCGTTGGGCTTCACTCCGTTGAGCTTCACTCCTTCTCCAGCCAGGCCCAGATATACAGTGGGCGGTGAGTTGCCTTTCTTTCCTTTTTTGTTGCCTCGGGTTGTCAAAAGATGGTAGGGTCTGTGCCTTCCGAACTGACCCACATAGGCTGACCTACTTCACCTAACACGTGCATGAGGAGGATCCAAGTGCGTCGTGAAATTGATAGCGGGTTCTCACGCAGGCGCTACCACCACGTGGTGCGCCCCCCCAGCTGGTCCACCCCTATGACGCCGAGCTCTTCCAACCCGAACTTCATAAGCCAGTCAAGCATCTAGCCTAGCACTGAATAGCCTTTGATTCCTGACATTCGCGCGCCGATGGCTTTGTACGAGTGCAGGTGTGAAGAATTCCAGAAGTATTCCAGACATGTCACGGTTGGGCTAAGCTTGGGTTGTGGTTCCGTTGGTGTGGCGCTTTGTTCCGCGTCTGAGCTCCAGCTCGTTTGGGGCAGCCTCTAGAACAATCTTCTTTGGCCACCTTGTTTCTCAGCCACTTGGAGGATCCAACTGCCTCATGTTCCGAAAGGCCCTGACTTGGAGAACGTATACTGTCTCAACACTTCCCGAGCTGATCAGTAGCTGCAGACAGACCCTTCCGTGACCCTCCAAGTTGTCGATGGGACTTGCCGGGCCGTCTTTAACTTGGCACGCGGAAGCGTTCAACCTGGGAGCGTATGTGCATAGTCTCTCGTGCAGAGTTCTGAGGAAACCGTCTGGAAACTGTCGGCAAGTTAGATCGTCCTAGGTCATCGCAACGGAGTTTCTGGGGCTGAGGCTGCAACAGATTGAACTTCTTGAGAGGGACATCTTGCACACCGAATTGACCCACAGTCAAGACACACACATTGTCATTCCCTACCCCTGCTGACCTGTCTGCTAGTTCAGTGAAGGGGGGCAGCGGTTTGTGTACGGAGTCAGAACATCACAGAAAGAAATCGCTCTGCTCTCGCCATGCAGATTCCTCCTATCTATGCCTTGAGTTTAAGTTCTGCTGCGATGCGGCCAGCTTGACATGTTCAAGCAAGAGAGAGAGAGAGAGGGACTCAGCCTCGGGCGCGCCCAGTGCGCGGGGGGCCTCCCCTATGCCCAGCAGAAGAAGTAGAAGAAGAAGAAGAAGAAGAAGAAGAGAAACAGAGAGAGAGAGAGAGAGATATATATATATATATATGTGCGTGTACATATATATATATATGTGCATACAGCCTCCGCTTCGGATGGGGCTACGTGCTTGGAAGGAAGGAAGCACGAGAGAGATGCACTCAGCTCCGCTCCTCGATGCAAAACTCTAAAGAGATCGAGGGCGCTGACCGGCAGCCAGCTACCCCGACGCCGAGCTGTAAGTGACGTGCAGAGAAGGTGGTCGAGCACGATCAAGTTGTTCCTTATGTTGCCTCCAAGTTGTTCCGTCGAGTGTATTGAAGCTTCTGCTCACTTAGCACGTGGTTGCATGATCCTTCAAACATGATACATGCACCCATTCATTGCATCCCATCTGACCCCGACCGGATCTTGACTCAGCAATGTCCGGATTAGTCATTGCTGGCAGCACATGGAACGGTGCAAATGGGAAAAGTCCGCAGCTTTGTTTGTCAGCACTCTCCTCGCATGTCGGAAGAATTGGGAGCTGCAAATTCAAGGTGCAGCACATAACAGGGTCATTGTACCACTTCTTGAGCCTGCAAATCAGGATGTCACGAGAGCGAAAATGTCCAAACCTCACTTCTACAACGTCCCAGCTTGGACCTTGCAGGCTTGCAAACTTCAGATGAAGGAGCTCAAGAAGACCCAGCCTCAGATTTACGAATGCAGCATGTCTTGGCAAGCAAGATAGGCCAGGGAGGCACACCTCATGATATGTGCTCTACTCTACATTCAAAGGACCTGCGAGCTCAACCAAGCGCAGTGCCGGTACCTCAAGGGGAAGTCAGCGTTTGAAGTCGACGGTCACGAAAAGGCTTATGACGGTCATATCAAGGGTTCAAACCAATGACACCAACCCAAATCCACCACCCTGAACTTCCGAGAAGAATGAAAAGGCCTGAGCAGGTTCGACTCGCACACGGATTGGCTGAAGGCCGCCTCAAGCTGCGAGACTTCTACGGCGCGAAGAAGGCTTGCGACACAGTCGGGGCGCCCAACTCAAGGGAAGCGGCACAAGACAAGCAGGTGCCACATCCTCAGCTGGTACCCACTTGGCCCGTCCAGCTGTTTGGCTGTCTCGACCAGTGGCAAAGTTGAAATATCGTTTGCGTTTAGGCTTCGGGGCCTTCACTGCGAGGGTTACCAGATCTTTCAAGTCCACATATCCTGGAGACACTGCCCAAGATGTCAATCTCCCGAAACACTCCAAACATGCACTTTGGCCTGCCGAGCCCAAAGAACTTTATCGCGATCGTAATCTCGTTGTGCACCAGCTCAGCTTTAACACGTGGACCTCCAGAATCTCCCAGTTGCAGGTCTTGGCAGAAGAGCCCACAAATCTTAAGGCCGCGACCATAACCGAAGCTACAGTGATGATGTTCTACGCGTGACGTTTGCTGCTGGAACAGTTCGTGGAATTTGCTTCGAGAGCTGGACATGTCAGGGGCTTGGCCATGTAATAGGATGGTACCATCTCTGCAGGAGAAGGATGCTTATGCACTTAAGACAGCGCAACCCTGGTCGAATGCAGAATATGACATCAGCGAACAGAAGTGCCAAGCAGCAACAAGGCAAGCACAGTTAGATTCTCTAGATTCCCATGGGCCAGGCACTCTTCCGGAGGGCAAGCGCAAACCTTCAGCCCAGCTCCCGGCAGCTTAGCGCTGGGATGTTTGAGAACAAAAGCGTGGCCAAAGTATCCTGGGCCTCTACCCATCTGCAGAGCTTCGGAATGGTTGAGAATGCTGCCAGGTCCTAGGTACACTGGCTGAGGTCTTAAGTTGGTATCGAGTATTATCGAGTGCGGCGCAAGTTCATGTTGCTGGCTCCACGCCGAGGCGAAGGGATTTCGCCGATGCGAGCAAGCCTCAGCACGGTGCAGAATCCCAATGGGCAGGCCCCATGGTAGCTATGCACCAAGAAGCGCTATCACATCATGTCTTGCAAAGTGCCGCTTCCCCGCCGACGTCGTTTGTTGCCTGTGCACCTGGTTTTCGGCCATCCACATGCTGAGTGGAACTCTCACGACTCGACGCACAAAAAAAACCGCAGTTCGGCATGCAGGTGAAAGTTTACAAAGCAAGTCAGCTGTACGTGCCACCCACTTGACTTCAAAAACAGATCGGGGTCGGCGGTCCCGAAAATTGTTCCGGCCACTGGTCCCATTGTTCAGTTCGGGAAGAAAGCCAACCCCCGTATATCTTTCAACCTTTGCAGAAACCGCCGTGGGTTTCAATGTTAAGGATTTCGGGTTCAGCTGGGAGGAGGCTGGGCAGGGGCTTTCACCTTCGGACCATCGAAGCCGCAGAGGTTAAGGGTTCAAAGTTCAAAGCTGTTGCTTCCAAAGGCATCTCCGGCAACAGCATGTCGATGCGTAGCACATCCTGATACCAGAGAATCTCTGTCTGAATCCCTCGAACCTCGAACCCCAAGTCGGATGTCGAGCATACTGGATTGAAAGAATCCTCACCTGCAGTGCTCTAACAACAGACTCTAACCGCCTCTAACATGCCGTGCTCTAAGTGGTTGGCAAATGCAAACTTCGTCCAGTGAACCACTGAACCCCAGGCTCGGTGACCTGAAGTTGCTCTTGGAACTGGAGCCCGGGTCCTTCTGGAAAATGTCCTGCAGCCAGTACTTTCACCACTTTCAGCATCTCTCAGCGGTGCAACGTTTGGAGTCCTTATGAAATGCTCGGAACGTGCAGACAAAATGATGTGAAATGCCTTTGCTGAGTCCAAAAAATGCCGATGCCAGACGTTTGCTACCAGAGGCAAGCCCGCGAGTTTGGTACGGTTGATATGTTCTTGCCTAGGTCCTAGGTTCTGCAATGTTCTGCACGTTCTGGACTGTTTCGTCCAGGGCACGAGCAAGGGCTTCGTCTCTTGTCCCCTCTGCGAGATGTATGCCAGTTGAGAGATTGCAGAAATGTGCAGAGTTGTGAAGGCACAGAAAGGAGCCAAAGAAGGCCTGCGGACAGCACGGAAGCCGATAAGACCTTGGGTGGTAGCTTGAAGCCTCTGATAGAGATGTGGAGCATTCAGGACAGGCGGGAAAGGATGGGAGAGCGGGTCATTCTAGGTGTACTAGGCATGCCATGCCGCTTCAGGCGAGAAGAAGGCGAGGTCCATGTACGCCAAGATGACCAAAAGCCTTGGGACGGGCAGAGAGGAGCGGCTGCACGTTTTGTTTTGTGACATTTCCAGGGGCTGCTCGGGGCTGCTGCGCCCCCCAAGTCGCCTTTGCTACGGCTTGCAAAGTGTTGGATGAACTGTCGTGATTGTGGGAAACGACATGTCTTTAAAGTCTTTGGGGCTGAAGATCGCAGGATGTAAAGGGCATCCAGTTTGACTTCGAGCCGGAGCCAGAGTCCTTCTCTGCCGCTAGCTCAGTGAAGCCTTTTTGAGCTTCCTGCCACTGGGGTCTCACTGTCTTGAGGCACTGTTCCTGGACTCACCTGCTCGGAACACAGCCTCGTGCAACGCTGGCGACTATCGTTTGTATGCGGGACTCTTAGATTGCTGGACTGCCGCTGGACTGCAGGATCATGTTTGGGAGTTCTGCTCTTACCGTTTTTCTCACTCCGACTCAGCTAGGTCGGCGGCGGGGCAATCAACAAAGCTTTCGGAGACTTGTGCATGCCTCGGTCCTGGGGTTGCGGTCGTGGACAATGTGGATCACCAAATCAGCGACTGCTATACTGCTACATTATGTTACCCTGGCGTTACCTCCTTCCAGACATCGCCCGGAAATCTAAGTGCTGTCAGTTTCATTGCATTCGGAGTGTGCACTCCTTGCAATGGGCTTTCCTGATCAGGTTCAAGAGGCAGCAGGGCCTGCAGTTTGGCAAGGTCTCTGAGGACAGGCAAAGGCTGATCCCATCATTTTGGGGTGTGCTTCTGCGAGGCTAGTTGGACTTAGCAGCTCAGCTTTCTTCCTCCTTCTCGTCGCAGTGTTTGCCCTCACTTCCTTCTGTTCCATACAAGCTGGCAAAGTCTCGTAGAGCTATTCAAAGCATCATCTTCTACCACCCGCCAAAATACTGGCTGGCAGCGCAACCAAGTTACTGAGTGAACATACCGAGGGTTGGCTTTCGGAGTGACTTTCGGTCATGATAGATAATGCTGCTGCCCACA